GTATGATGCATAAATATTGCAACCATTAAGTGGTGCACCAGCACTTGTGCAGTGTTACTTACAGTTAATCTTATCAGGCAAGATCATTAAAAAATCAGTAATCATATTAATGTTGAAAGCAATGACATATTTATGGAAATAACTACCCTCTCCCAAGGTTTAAGGTTTTCACACTTTGATATAACATTAGAATTTAGTTAATTCAGTGTGACTTGGTTCAGCTAAGACACAGGTTGAAATTGGTAAACACAAAGCACAGACTTCCAGCAAGTGCAAAAAAATCTTTTCTTAAAGTTTGTAAGTGTACTGTGATTTTTTAAAAGAGAAAACTAGTTTCCATATTCTGTAAGGAATTGGAACTAGTGATTAATTCATCAATTTCGTCATAAATCTATATGTATCAATTTCTTCATAAATCTATATGTATTAATTTCATTATAAATCTATATGTATCAATTTCATCATAAATCTATATGTGTCTTTTGGATCACCAAAATCTAACCAGTTAGTCCCTAGCCCATAACTGACTTTTCCACAAATTTTCATCACAATCCATCAGAAACTTTTCCCAGCTAAGCTAAGAAACCAGAGAATGCCAGTGAATACACATTTTAATCCCTCAATGGAAGTGAAAATAGACACGATATGGAGCCCTATGTAAGGGTAGTATATTATAAAGAATGATAGTATTTTTAGAATTTATTGAAGCTACTGGCATATCTTGAACAAATCACTAGTAAGTCTGTTTTGAATATATAGTGCAAGCATGATCACAGGCATTAAAAAGAATCTTAGAAGAAGTACAAAAAGGCTATGGCACTTAGTCAAGAACAATTAATGTATCATAGAACAAAAGACAAAATGCAGAAAGTGTGAGGAGCTCATTGTTTCTGACTTCACATTGGGATAGATAGACAACCACTGGTCTGCTTAAAGGGGGAAGAAGAGAAAAGTGCCCCACCCCCCTGGCACATTTATTTTATTTTTTTTTTTTACTCTTTCAAAGAGGGATAGCTACTAAGTTGGATTATGATAAAGTAATAGCAAACACTGTTAGAATCAAGATAATGGAAGCAATTGTATTTAGGATGATTCAGTGTTTTTATATTATTATTTATTTTTTTTAAATAAATAACTTACTTTTTAAAAAACTATCTCCCTTTGATTTTTAATATAAAATAGAAATATATACTGTATTTAGATTTATATTTTACATGGCATGGTATCTCCTTTTGTGCACTCACTTCCCTAAACCTTAGAACTTAACAATGCCCTTGTAGCAGACTAAAAGGTGCAGAAATAAAATTATGAATACCCAATTTTCACAAAAGCACTTTGCAGGAACCTAAAAGCTGTCACCATGACCTGTATATTATATATCCCCATTTAATTATTATTATTTTTTAACAGGTGTCCTCGTTGGTGGCTGACAAGATGGGCTTAGAGAAAGAAGCAAATGACCTCGGGGAAAAAGTGGTGGGACTCGAGAGGAAAACTTTAAGCCTCAAGGAAGAGAATAATAATCTACAGAATGACCTCAACAATCTCGTGCAGGTGTGTGTTATTTTACAGTCACGACGCATTTTTGTGAGAGTAAATAATTTAGTTATGATCCTTTGCTTTCTGAAGAAAAAAAAAAAATCTTGGTTGGCTCTTATGTTTTCTTTCATGACTGGATTTAGTATTTTATATTGTTTTAATTTAGTATTGATCTTTTTTATGATATACATCACTCAGATATGTAGAGCTCAAAGAGATGACAGTAAACTAGTAAAGAAAAGACTGAAAATGAAGCAGAAGCAAGGACAATAAGACAATAAGTTGGCCAATAATATACAACAAGTTTTTTGTCTGAATTTCAGGTGATTACACGTGCAAGACTTACAGGTCAGTGGGAGGCAGACAACCTGACTTTCTCCTGTGTCACACCAGAGCAAGTGTTTGGCCCTGTCTTATCTTCATCCAGGTAAGCTGTTGACTGATTATTTGACTGATTTTGCATGAGTTAAGGTCTGTATTTCAAAATCATCCACTCCAAAATACAAAAAAAATGCTACACATAACTGATCTGTCATCTGGTAGTTTGTGTGAGAGGTTATGATTTGACAGATTGCTTTTCACCATTTTGTTGCTCAGCCAGCATATTTCTAAGCAATTTTCTTTTTTTCATTCTTTCTTCAAGAGGATATCCAGGTTGCTGAAAGACAGACAGTAGCTTTGTTTTTAATAAGATTTCTCTTCTGTATTTTTGTTGATCAGGAGGTCATCTCAGTCACTGAAGGAGAGCCAGCATGACTACATACAACACATGCTGGAAGAGCACCTGAGGAAGGACAGCTCCTCCTTGAGAAGCTCACTCTCAAACCTTCAGGTGAGTGAAGACCCTTGAGAGGGCATTGCCTCAGCCCCAAATAAGGGAAGTCTTGGGCACAATACCTCATTATCCCTTCTGATACATACTGACCAAGCAAATGTTGGTGGAGATTGGAGATTGTTCAAAAGCACAATTCCCTGATTCTCTCTCTGGTAGTCTTAAATCTTAAATTACTCATGATTTGCAATAATCTTTTGTTATCTCATTGTACAAAATAATCAGTTATGTTACTTTCGTAAATGGTAGGATGGAGATAGCAGCCTGTATGGAGGCCGAGGGTCTGAGAAAGAAATGGTAATCATGAAGCTGCGGTCTGACCTGCGGAGCCTGCAGTCAGCCCAAGATGAAACCAACCAACAGCTTCTTGAGAGAGATAAACAGATAGCAGATTTACAGGTTTGTTTTAAAATGCAGTCCTTAACTCTTAGCAAATTTACTTAAGAATATATTAGATTTTTTTTTTTCTTGTGAAAAGTATTCTGGAAAGTGTTGTTAATTGTGCTGAACAGAAAAGCACCTAAAATGTTTAAATAGTCATTGTTTATAAGCAGTGTTATGATAAGGCATGTTGTTTCACAAGTGTTTATATTTTCTAAAAGTGATGAGTTATTTAATTTCTGTTCTCCTAACTGCTCATACTTTTGTCTTTAAATGGCAGTGTTATTACAATGAATTATGTTGGAACAGATGCAACTGACAGAGCTCCACCATGAACTTGCATTGTCTCAGGCTGAAGTAAACAGTGTCAACCACACTCTGCAGGAGGTTCGTCATCGCAGCAGGCATGAAACTGTTGAAGTGAGTGAATACCTTTTATAATGCACATTATGTAAATTTGATATCTTCAGTATATCCAGAACATAGAAAAAAATTGTAATTGTAATTAGAATGTAAGCCTCCATTAAATAAATGTTAAAAAGGAGAATGGAGGAGGAAAAGAAACAGGATAACAACTCCAAATGTGTTTTTGTTGTGACTATAAACTTTTTCCATAAAACTGTATTCATTATTTATTTATTTATTTATTTTTCCTTAAAGTAGTATGTAGAGAGGAAATGTCAAATGCAAGTAGACAAGCATAGATAAAGGCTAGAGAACATTCAGATGATAAATCCAAAATATTTTTGAATTACTTGACAAATGCTTATTTTCCAGATTACTCGGAAGGAAGAAGTCGTCCGTCAGTTGTTATCAAAGCAGGCCAAAAAGGATTCGGTCAGAGGTTCTTATACGTCCCTTTGTGATCTCGACTCAGTTATTACAGGAGATAACAATGTAAGAATATTGTTTTGTTAATTTATGTTGTAATATGTAGATTATGAAAGGTCTCTAGAATTTTAATTTACAATAAATTATACTGATAATGGTTGAAACATCTTAAAAATGTTTTATATTTTGGTATTGCTACAATATTTTTTAAAAATTTTCTGTAAAGACAATAATAACCTAAGGGCACTTTTGCAGGTGGAATCGCAGCTGAGTGAAAACATAGATATATTGGCTGGGCGCCTGGCAGAGTTGGAGGAAGAGTGCACCCAGCTGCGAGAGGCACACGCTGCCCTGAAGGACACGCATGCCCTCTGTGCCCCAACCATTTCCATGCTTCAAGATCAGCTCGCCAGGTCACATCAGGTCAGTTGAGATGTTTTCCAGTGTGTTTGGGGGTTGTTGTTTTATCTTGGTTAAATGTCAGAGATTTTAGTTTTTTTTCTACAAAAGGATGTATAAAGATCATAGGGTATAAAAACTTACATGGTTGTCTATAGATGCATGTTGTCATAACACAACTTCTATTGTGATTAATGTCATTTTTAATGTTAGACTTTGAATCTGAGGTAATTTAATAGTATGCTAGAGCACAAAGCTTCTCAAGTCCATTTTTGATTAATACTGTAATAGATTTGGAGTAGGAAATGTATGTAATATTAGACATGTTAAAAGTACAAAGTATTTCTGAGTTAGATTACTTAGTGGTGTGTTATTAATGAATTAACTTATCCCTTTCTCATTCTGGTGGTATTGGAATACTTTATCCTTGTTTTCTTCCTTAACTTTGCTCTGACAATAATGTTAACATAAACATAGAAACAAGAGAATTGTAAAACCAAAACTGTTTTTTCCCCCTTCAGAATAATGGGCAATATAAAAATAACCAACATTTTGTAAGCTGTATAACCATAAAAAAGAGAACTCTAGTACCTTACTTCACTGTGTTGTATAAACTAAGTCTAAACCTGAGGAATGGGAATTGCTTTTGTAACCCAGCAGATACAGAAAGGGATAGTTTTAAAATGTGGTTTAGGATTTGTTCGGTTTGCTTTTGAGTTTGACTAATATTAGCATCATGTAGCTTTGAGGTTTGGATCCAATCCTAATTGTATAAAAACAATCCTTGGCTCTCCAGATTTTATCCATAGAACATTTGGTTGTGCTAGCCCTTTGTATAACACGTTGCATCCCACTTTGATACTCCACTAATGTAGAACCAAGTGGAGCTGCGCACAGTACTAACAGCCGAAGTGGCTGAGAGACACGACCAGCTGGTGGCCCTTAGAGACAAGCTGAAAGAGGAAGAGCAGAGGCACCATGAGACAAAGATGCAGCTGCAACTCAAGACTGAGGTGGTCAAAGACCTGCGGAAGGAAGTACGAGAGTGTAAGGAGAGGCCTTTACCTAATATTGGAAAGGTAAACAAATGGAGATTCCCAGGCTATAGATTTGTGTCCTTCTCTCTTAGAGTAACTGCATGCTTTAAACTAATTCTTTATATTTCAGCTCTTTGATAGGTTCATTTTATTAGGGTGTAAAGTAGTAAAAGAAGTTTTAGTTAAATCCTTTGGGGTATTATTTTAGCTCTTCAGTAAGAAGACATCCTGAGGGGGAAATGTCTTTCCAGAGTGATATAATTCATCTGGAAGCTGCTGTACAAACTCCAGCTAAGGAAATAAAAGCTGCTGAGACACAGACAGCAGAGGTAGGTTTTGTGGCAGTGTCATGTTTTAATTGTGGAGGAGAACATATTACAGTGTTGATTTCACACATATATTTCTGCCTGAACAACTCTATCTTCCACTAGACATAGTGGATATCATTAGCCCCAAGTTTACTTATCTGGCAATGACACTTTTATTGAATATGCAGACATACCTCTCTTTTATTTTTGTATGCACCAAATTCTGACATGATGTGCTGATTTTGTAACTGCAGCAACATTTGCATCACTACTTTTTACCCATAGTGTTTTCATCACTTTGGTGAATTACACAGATAAAGTTCACTGAAATTCTGAAAGTACCTATATGCACAAGATCACTGATATCTGATTTTTATAAAATCTTGTAAGGTCCGTTGGTTGATTCAGTTAAAATTTAGCCTATACATATTACCCATACATGGTTAACAGCTGTAATAATTCAGGTATTACATACTGTAGAAATAATGTCAAAATACTTTTTGAATATTCTTTGGCTTGTCTTTGTATAAAAATGTTTGAAATATTGGCTCTTAATTCAGATAAACAGGCCATAGCATCTAAGTTGGCTCTTTTATATTTCAGTAGTGCCATACAGTGCAAAAGATTAATTGATCATTTTGCATAGTAGTAATTTTAATAGTGCAAATGCCTTTTCTTTCAGGAGGTGAATCATATGGATAAGGGCACAAGAGAGGGACCTTCAGTAAATGGTTTCTGTTCACAATCGTCCCAAGTGTCAAAACTGGAAAACGAGGTTTGTTTATAAGGATTCTTCCCTCTGTTTTGAATGGCTTTTGCCTTTTGAAAAATGATTGTGCTTGGAAGTATTTTCCTTTTATGCTGTGCTTCCCCCACCTCATATTTTTGTGCAATCCTATGCCTTCATTACTACAGATCAGGGTTGAAATAATAGATTCTGTTGCTGAGACGGCTGAAAGAGGCCCATGAAAAGTCTAATTAATCTAAAATAGGAGAATAGTTGGTACTTGGAATACAGATAGTTGTCACAAGTTGCAGACTGAAGCAAAGATACACTAAGTGAGAGTACACACAAAGACATAATAAAAGTAATTTATAGTTCGAAAACACTGACATTCAGCCCTAAAGATTTACTGTTTGCATTTTTCTGTATCTTGCTTCCCCATATTGCTTGCTGCTAACTGCTATTTTGTCTCCTTCCTTGACCTATGTGCCCTTGTGTGTGCATACAGCTGGCAGAGAAAAGTGTCCTCCTACGTGAGCTTCAAAGTCACCTGGCAGCGTCGCGTCAGGAGCTCCACCTCAAGGATGAGACGCTCTCGAAGGTAACCTGACAAAATAACTGAAGGAAGAGAGGAATCTTGCTATTGCTTTTGCCATTGTCATGTGCCCTGTGGATTACCTTTTCTGAACAGAGAGAATGTGTTAAAACTTGTATGGTACAGGGGAGGTGTATTAATTATTTATATTTTAATACAACAGCTGGAAAAGAAGTTGGATTCTGTGCGTAGAGAAGGCGGGCATAACGGAGAGAGGATGCAGTATCTCACAGGTCAGCTGACAAGTCTCCAGTTGGAAGTTGGGAGGACTCATGGCCAGGCGGAACACCTTCGCAGACAGGTAGAATTTTTTTTTGATGGCTTTGATGATTAATGCCTCAAGTTTTATCATTCATTACCCTCAGGTCTTAATATTAATTATGAATCATTAAGAGTGTTATGTTGTTCTCTACACAGGTGGAGAAGAAATCAGAGCTAATTCAGAAGATGGAGGCAGAGAACACATCACTTTCCCAGCAACTGAATGACAAATCTCTAACATTAGAACGGTTCCAGTCGGAGGTTCTTAAAATGTCTACTGACCTTGAGAAGAAGAAGAAGGAGGTATATTATTATTTATTCTTATAATTGCTTTTATTGGTGATGTCTTAATAATTTTCAGTCATTAAATTTCCCATTATCAGGATTATTAAAGAATTTTTATATAGTAAACAAGGTTTGAAATGCATTTTTAAAAATGATAATAGGGATAACATTAAAGTAATTTGCATGTTCATTACAGATTGGAGAGCAGCGTCTGACCATCAGCTCACTTCAGGAGGCACTAGTGACCAGCAAGAGGACTTGTGATGACTTGCGTTCCCGGTTGGACAATGATGTGAGTGCTGCCATGTTGCACCATAGCCTCCCTCCACAGATATTTGCTAGTAGCAATAATCCCAACAGCATCCCCAGTGTGACTAATAAAAGCATCCTTGCTGACCGTGAAGATCCGCATTATCCGGTTGTATTGCCCAGTGCATGTGTGGATCAAAACGGCATAGGCCTACCTGTAAACTCTTCTCGCTCTTTCCCCATGACCGCCAGTAACTCCATGTCAAGCATTCTGCAGCCTGATTCTTGGCAGCTCCATGCCTCTAAGCCTCACTGTAAGCAAGTAGCCTCAACAGACTCAAACAATGTGATGATGCCAGATGTTAATCCTAGTGATTCATGTGCCAAGGATGTTATCAGCCAAAGTACCCCAAGTGCCATAACCCCGGATGTGTTGTCGTCCTGTGGTGGGACCCCTTTGTTGATCATGAATTCTCAGAGTGAAGGAAATAAAGTTTTAAATGGTGATTCACTCAGTGCTGTGAAGACCTGTATTGGAGAGAACACTGAAAGTAGCATATCTAGTCAGAGTGTAAGGACATATGCAACACCTGTTGGCCAGACTGCAGGCCACAGTGGTCGAGTGTATGATGTATAGATAAGACTAGCCTGAGGTTGCAGTCACCTGCCACAATCTTGTGAAATTCATAAATACCTCAGGTTGTCTAACATGAAATCATATCCCTTTTGTGCATTAAGAATACTTAATGGAATAAGTTCATGAAATATACTTTATTTCAGATCTCTAAAAGAAAGTTATTCAAAGCAATATTAGAAAAAAATATTAAAGTTAATAGACTATCTTTTTTTCGGTTGTAATGATAATAGAGAAAGGATATACATACTGATTGTAGGCTAATTTTTGAGAATAGTGGAATGAAAGGTAGTCATCCTTTATCATGTGCCATCGGAAGTTATTTTATTTCAATTTCTTTTTTTGTGTTGAAGCTTCTAGTCATAAGATGCTAGTAAATTTTGGATATCTGCTGTAAATGTTTGAGCAGCAGTCGACAGGTTGTGAACCTACTTTCTATTTCTCATGTGTACAGTAGTGTTCTTTTATTAAAATTGCTGCTGTATCAATAGAACTGACATATAAGTATGTAATTATGGATTGTCTTTTTTTTTTATTTTTTTTTAAAGACAATCCTTGTTCTTTTTCCATTGATGCATGTGTGTCATAGCGTACTTATTGCTACTAACACGGACGAGACATAGCCACCATGTCTCGGCCACAATCTGCCATGTAAGGTAAATGAATAGAGTAATTAGGTAATAAAAATCTTTATTATGCTAGAATAAAAAAAAGGCCAAATGTAAGAAAAAGAAAGATTTACTGAACATTCCAAATGTTGTAATGGAATACTGTTTATATTTTGTTTTATCTCTTATTATTTATAACTTATCACTTTTATTTATGATGTGTAATGATATGTTTGTAGGTGAGGAATCATTGTTATCTCTCATTTGACATTTAAAAGTGGATAAACATAAATACATATATATATTTATATAGTTATGAAAGTAATATATTTTTTACAATGCAGTGGATTGTAAACCAATAAATGAATGAGAGCGAGTTAAAATTTCCCTACCTTTTTCCGTAATATTAAATACAGATATGTGTGAAATGTAACAAAAAAGATTAATTGCAATAATGAAGATGTCACTTTCAATTTGAAATGAATAGCATGAAGCATGTCTTTGAAAAAAAGTATCTGAATTGCTTGTCATATTACTAATTTTGTGCATTGTTCTTTTGGAAGTGTGCTACTAACAAGTTGCAGTTTGGAATTTGGAACATGAAACGAGTACTATATGCGTTTTGTTTTGTCTTGCTTTCAATCTGCCCTTTTTATGCTCTCTTCTGTGATTATTTCATCTTTTTCATTGCATGTAGTTTATTTGTTTTTAGCTAATTCATCTTCCTTAAATTTAACATTTTCCTCTAGCTTCCATTACTTTATTTTTCTTTTAATGTTTTTAGTTTTGTTGTTTTCCTTTTTCTGTTTTAATCCTTTTGTTTTCTTTTTCTTTCCATTTTTTTTTATTGCTCCTTATTAATGCTTCTTTTCTTCTCTCATATGTTCCTTTCTGTATGTTTGAGTTTTCTCTTTTTATTTCTCCTGCCTCATTTCGTGGAAAATTCATGCTGAACAAGCTAGACAATAAACAACCATTGCTATTTTATTTGCAATGTACCTGTTCATTATTTCACTATGTTTTGCCTTAGTTGTTCAGGTTACACCCTGTCTATCCTTTATCTCACTACATGTTACCCTTATTGTTTGGTTTACACTATGCCTGTCCTTTTTTTCACTATGAATTACCTTTATCATTTTGTTATGCTAAACCTATCTTTTACTTCACCATTCATACATTCATTGTTTTGTTGACTACATACCTATCCTTTATTTTATTGTATATGAGCTTTCTCCTTCCCTCTCGTTCTCTCTTTCCTTCCTGAGTGTTAGAAAATGTGCTCATTTCATGTTCCAAGTCATTAACACCAAAAAAGAG